ATCATCACTTGGCTCCACTGTTCTTGAGCTTTGGTGACATAGAGCATTTTGACAGGGAGCATGTGGTGAGCAAAGCTTCTCATCTCATGGTAGTCAGGAAGCAGAGAAGGGACTGGAGACTTGGTAGAACTTCAGGGTTACATCTCCAGTAACCCACTTCCTCCAGCCAGGTCGTACCTTCCATAGGTCCAGCAGTTCCCAATAGTCTGTTCAGATGTTGAATCCATCAATGGATTGATCCACTGATGAAGGAAGAGCCCTCAGAACCCAGTCTCTCCTCAAATGCCCCACCTCTGAATACTGCCTGCATCAGGGACCAAGCCTCAGAATACAGCCTTTCAGACACTTCATATTCAGACAATAGCAGACCCTTCAGCGTTGGTGCCGAAACTCACAATGCAACAACCAGGAGGCAGGACCTGAGTTTTGGTTCTGTCACAGCCCAAGGGCCTTTAGCAGTACCACATACACAGTACATGCTCAGAAACATTTTTAGACAAGTGGAGGAAAGACAGTATCTTTCAAATGGTACTGGGAAAACTGGATATCTACATATGGATATCTACATATGGAAGAAAGAAGCTAGATCTTTATCTCTCACGCTGCACAAAAATCAACTCCAAATGGATCAAGGACCTCACTCTAAGACCTGAAACTCTGAAACCACTTTAAGGTTTAGGTATAGATAAAGACTTTCTGATTAGAAGGCGGGTTGCTCTGGAAATAAGGCTGATATGAACTTACAGCAATGGTGACAGCATGCACAAGACACATGCAAACTCAAACCAGACAAAACCAAGCACAGAAGCAGAGAAATGGGTAAGAAGCCCCAACCTTAGCTGAGGAACTAAAGGCAACCGATCACTTTGGGTGAGGGAGAATGGATCTTCTTTAAGGGAATGTTGCTAGATAGGCTGACCAGGCTCCAGTGGATGAATTCATACTAAGGGACATTAGGGGACACAAACTTGATAGGCTTTAACATATATGACAGAATGCATGAAATCTGGTGGGGGAAACCACACAGAGGTGCAGATAGAGAAGGGGATCTAAATATGATTAAGATGTATGAAATGAGCAAAATTTCAATAAAAAGATTATAAAAAGAAAATGTAAAGACTTTTGTACAGCAGAGGAAATGGTCAGTCAAGTGAAGAGGCAGCCTATAGAATGGGAGAAAACCTTTGCCAGCTATACCTCTGAAGGAGGATTAATATCTTATATATACAAAGAACTCAAAAACAAGTCAGCAAAAAAACAGCCCAATCAAATAATAGACTACGGAATTGAGCAGAGAGATCTCAGAAGAAGAACTACAAATGGCCAACAAACACTTTAAAAGTGTTCAACATCTTTAGCTATAAGGAAAATGAAAGTCAAAACTACTTTGAAATACCATTTCACCCAAGTCAGAATGACCTTTACTGAGAAAACAAATGCTGGCCAGGATTCAAGGCAAGAGGAACTCTTATATACTGTTGCTGGAGTGTAAACTGGTGTAGCCATTATGGAAATCAGTGTGGAAGATTCTCAAAAGCTGAATGGATGATTTTTAATTTATTCATTTTAGTAAATAGCATAAGGCAGCTAATACTGTCCAGGGTGGGGGGCAACCCATGCAATCATGGTGGTTAGTGCCAGTACAAATATGTCACCGCTAATCTCAGTGGGATCCTTTACATTTGACGTCCTTTTATTTCTGTATTCTTATCCCTTCCTGCCTTCTTCACACTTTCCTCAAGCCCCCGATCTACACCTCACATTCCATACCTCTCAGAAAAGAGCCTCACTTCCTCTACCACTGACAGTCCAGAAGGCAGCAGACAGCTCCCTCAGCTCCCAGTCCTGCTTCTGAGAGCTGCATGCACTGCCAGTCCCTGAGAGCCTGCTGGCTCCTTTAAGGCCAATATCTCCTTGTCCATTTTGTGCCATTGGTCTCTTGGAGGTATTTGTTTCTCTTATATCTTCTTCTACCTTCCGGCTGGCTCCTTTACCCTATCCAAGCTCTCCTGGCTCACCAGCCCACTAAAACAATGGCAGTGAAAATCCTAATCATTCATACACACACACACACACACACACACACACACACACACACACACCAGGTCTCATTTAGCCCAGGCTAGTCTCAAACTCATGATGTAGCCATCAGGAACTTCTGATCTTCCTACCTGTACCACCCAAGTGCTTAGATTACAGGTATGAAATATAACAATGATTCTAGTTTATTCACTAAAATTGATAATTATAATAGTACCTGTCTTGGTTTCTTTCCTGTTGCTGTGATAAAATACTCTGACAAAAACAGCTTAAGGGAGAAAGGGTTTATGTGGCTCATAGTATATGCCACAATCCATTGTAGCAGGAAGTCAAGGCAGCAGGCGCACCAAGCAGCTGGTCACATCCCATCCACAGTCAGGACGCAGAGAGTGAATGAATGCACACTGCTGCTTCACCCCTTCTCCATTTATACAGTCCAGGATCCCAGCCGGGGAATGGTACCACCCACAGTGGCACAGATAAAAATGGGTGCTATGCTGGGGACTAGTTGGCCTCTGTATGAGGGCTCCACTGAGTGGTATCACATTGCAAAGACCCATGTATTCTGCCAGCTCTTCTTGTGGTTCCTCAGCTGAGTGTTGCCCTATCAGCCAGAGAATGAACTTTTTGTGTACGTATCTAATAGTGATGCAGAGGAATCCTCTGTGAGCCAGCAGCTCCTCTCCTCACCTCCTTGGGCAGCCAAGGAGAAATTAAGTTCTTGGGGATCCTGCTGAGACACTTTGTGCACTTGAAGACACTGTCAGATATGTCTAACGGGATTCCCTGTGTCATAGACACCTTGCAGACCGGTCACCTCTGGAAAGCCCTGGGAAGTAATGGAGTGTGTGATCCATAGCCACTGAGTGACAGTGTTCTGCCAGAAGCATGTCCAGGGAGACTTGGCAGGTGCTTCACAGCTTTGTGTGCTGTTGGCTAAATTATGCCCCATGCTCTGGGACTCTCATTGGGATGGTAGGTCCTCCGCTCTGGTAGCCATGATACAAAGAGAAGAGGAAGGAAGGGACTGAACATGACACAGGCATTCTGTCTGCCCTAACAGTCTGTTTTCCTTTCCAGCCCACAGCTAAGGATGTCCTTCATCGTCTTCTCTACTCGAGGAACAACCTTAATGAAACTAACTGAGGACAGGTAAGAAGAGTTGGCATCCCTGTCATTATGAAGTCAGTCTCTTCCTGAGCAACTCGGAGACTTGTGCCTGGTGCCTCAGCAGTTGATCCTTTTGATCTAACTGCTGTCTCTTAACTTGAACTTTGTATGTGGGCCCTTCCACTAATTTGCTCTGTGGTGACTTCTGATAGCTTTTCCCGATGCTGGTGAAATTTTTTAAATGACTGAATCACATTGAGACAAGCCTCACATTTGAATGGTAACTCCATCTGCTAAGATGAAGCAAAGTGTTAGCAAACCAGATTCTTTGGGGATTGTGTTTTCTTCATTTGAACTGAATTTAAACTTAGGTTTTAGAAATGTAGCAACTGTTACATGGGAGAGATAAGAGCTTGAAATACTGCCCACATAGTTATCAAGGACAGACTAGTAAGAAAAGATTTGTGGCACCACAAACTAAAACGAAATTTCAGTCAGGTGTGGAAAATAGTGATTTATTTACAAGGAATAGTTAAGACATAGTTTGGCAAACGTTCTTTGGAGATTCACCACATTTCACTTGCAGATTAAAACTATCAGTGGCAGACACATGTCATTTATGTGTAGTTCTGATGGTGTGTGGGGGAGGGGAAAGGCTAATTTTCTTTCATTCATGACACTGCACACTTTTTAAAAACATGAAACACTTCACGAATCTGTGTGTCATCCTTGCACAGAGGCCGTGATCATCTCTGTATTGTTCCGATTTTGGTATAGGTGCTGACAAAGCAAGCACAACACTGCATACTTTTTACAAACATGATATAGTCCACATGAGGGAAGGACTGTTGGGACACAATGAGGTTCCTGATGAGCTTATACATGGGCATGTTGGAAAATGAAACTGAAGAAGGGCAAGTGTTGCTAGTCCATTTTCTGTTGCTCTAACAAAATACCCAAGAGTGGGTAACTTATAAAGAAAAGAGTTTATTTAGCTTACATTTCTAGAGAGTCAGGAGTGGGTGCTAGCATCTGCTCCATGCTGAAGGGGCCCTGTGTACATCCAACATGACATGTGGCATCACAGTGGGAGAGATCACATGGTAAGATGGAACCCAGGGAGATCAAGGGCTAGGCCCACTCTTCATACAACTTATGCAGGAACAAATCTGGGTCTTACAAGAACCACTTTCCTTTAAAGGTTGTGCCCCCAGGGACATAATTACCACCCCCCACAGGCCCTATTTCTTAGAAGTTTTGCCTCTTCCCAGTGCCACCACACTGAGGACCAGGCTTCCAGCTCATAGCCAGTTGGAGAACGCATTGAAGCAAGGCATGGCAGGAAGTGTAGGAAGAGCAAGAGGACTTTAACTGATCACCTTTTCATAGATGGGCAGGAAGACTTAGCTCATCACCTTTTCATAAATGGGCAGGAAGACTAGGTGATCACATTTTCATAGAGGTGAGAATGGAATTAACAAGCTTTCTGGCTCAAACTAGCAATTCCATGCCAGTACCCATGTTTCTCCACCTCTTGTTTTCCATCTATAACTCTGTGTTTAAATCCTCTTCTTTCTGGTGTGCATACACATCAAGATGCCTAGAAACTATTTTGAAAGCAGATTTCAGTCCTTATTCACAAAAGGCGAAACTGAGACCATGTCCCCATCTAAAGGGCCCTAGGCTCAGGCTCCACATTGTTTTTACTTCTCTTTGCACATTCTGTAAACAGAAAATCCTAAAATCTAAGAAGCCTCCTTCTAGGCTGGCCAAGGACTTTGAGAAGCTCTGAGTGCGAGAGCTTGTGAGAAAGTCATGATCCTGCTCAGTCTACACAGCATCCTTCAGTGGAGCTGGCTTCTGCTCAGAGATGAGGAACTAAACAGAGGAAGCCTGGCTGATCCTAGCAGGAGCATGTGCATGTCTCCAAGATTAAGCCAGGCATGTCTGAGTGTATGCAGCCAGGTCAGTGAGCTGTGAATAGCCCAGAGAGCCAACCATGGTTCCCATGGTCCCTTGCTCTTTTGCATGGATAAACGAAGCTCTGGAGCTAATCTATATTAGTGGGTGCTGAGCAGCCTTGCAGTCGTTAGACCAAAACCAGAATGATCTCACCTGTCCATGAGCCATGCACCCCAGGATTGCCTGACACGGACTACCCTCTCGATGTGTTGGTGTGGTCAAGAGACCAAGTTTGTATAGTACTGTAGATATGTTGTGAGCTTCTGCCCACAGCCTCTGGGAAGCTGCAGAGGGTAGAACAGATCAAGGATGTCTAAACACTGTCAAAATGCCTACATGAGATGCCTTGTGTTGAAACTAGTCATCCTCTCAGTCTACTTGGAATATAATTTGTTGTACCTTAATTTCATTACCGCTAGTTTCCTGTGCCAAAGAATGACAGAAGTCAGATTCCGTATTTTCCTGCAAACAGCCTTTAATGTGGGCCAAATGCACATCAAATGACAGCCAGAAACACTTATTGAAGGCTGTGTGCCTCATGTAGTGACTGTGAGGCCTGGTGGTGTTGTCGTCCACCATACCACACACCCAATCTTAGCGCCTGCAGAGAAGATGTGGGCAAGTGTTCTCGGAATCCTCAGGAAACTGACTACAAAAACCAGATCTTCCATGATGGTACTGTTTTTTATTTGTATTACAGTGCCTTGGCTGAGCACAAGAATCTATATATTTTTCTTTATAGCTCAGTTGTTTTGTATAATGACCCTGTAAGACAGTTGTTAAACCTTCTGTGTATTTGAGAAAGTTTATAGAATTTAAAAAGAAACTTGTTAAAACAACAAGGCATCAGGCTGGGGTGATGCAAAGCCTTCACAAAGACCTCAATTTGTACCTCCATAATCCACACTAAAAAGCCAGGTGTGGTGGGACATGCCTGTAATCCTAGGGATGATGAGATGGGAAGTGGAGACAAGTGGGTCCCTAGCCTACTTGGCAAAGTGATAGGCCAGCAAGAGAACCTACCTCAATCAAAGCTGGATGGTGTATGACAACCAACACGTCTGTGACCTTCACATGCACACATACACACCTATACACACCCTCACACACACGCCCACATACAGAAAACAAGGCATCGATCAGCAAAGATTCTCATTTTACCAAGAGCAAAATAAATGTGTTAATCAAAAGAAATAATATCAAAGATATATTTGCAGCATGTTCCTATATGTTCTTGGGATCCAAAATGCATAGAAGAAAGCTATGGGGTGATTGAAGAAATAAAATGGAAAATTCAGTGTGCAAAGTATAGTTTAAAAAAAAAAAAGAAAACTCTGTTAGAATGATGGCATCTTGATGTCTTTCATCTGCTCATTTCTGATGGCAAATGTGCCATTCGAATCACTATTTTAGTATGTAATACAGTGTTTTTTCTCTGACTGCTTTTAAGGTTTCTTCATCTTTAATTCTCAGCAGTTTGATTATGATGTATCTGGGGATGGTTTTCTTTTAATTTATTCAACTTTGGCTGTGCAGAGCTTAGAGAGTCTGTAAATTCATGTCTTCCACCAAATTTGGCAAGTTTGCAGCCACTGCTGTTCAAATATATTTCCTGCTTGCTCTCTTTCTCCTCTTCCTGGGGTGGGTGGTATGAGATGTTGCTGCGAATGCCCCTGGAGTTGGCCCACTTCTGCAGTTTTCCTTCTCTGTTCTTTGGACTGGGCGATTTCCATTGCTGTCTCTAGACCCACTGGTGTCTCCTGTCGCCTTCCTATCCAGCGTGTCTGCTTAGTTTTTGTTGCAGATATTTGCTTTTTTGGTTCTAAAATTTCCATTCTGTTCTTTCCAAAATGTTCATGTCTCTTAAATATTTGATCTTTCTATTTATTTCAAATGTTCACAGTGACCTCACAGGGTAGTTATTATAACTGCTTTCAGGTCTGTTACAATTCCAGTGTCTGGGGTTTGACAACTTAAGTGCCTTTTCCTATGAATGCTGATCACACTTTTTAGGTGTTTTTGTGTATTAAATGATTTTAGAGTGTAGCTTGATTTTTTTATTATTATTTTATGATGTTCAGGCTTTGACATTTTTTTCTATGCCTTAGTACCTTTTTACCCTGGTCAGGTTCAGACCATAGTTCTATCTTGTGTGTGTGTAGGTTTCAATGTCTGCTCGGTTTATAAGTACTTTGCTGAACTATTTTTGGATCTGCCCCTGTGCACTGCAGGAGGGACCTGGGACCTTCAGCTTCATGCATGGAATTGGACACCCCTCTTCTTCAGCTCTCTCCTCTCTAGAACCCTTCCCCCACAACAATCTGCCAAGACAGGCTATCTATTAGAGTTTTGTCTGTATATACTGCTGCTAAGCAGCCCTCCTCTGAGGCAAAACCAGAGAGATTGACAGAGAGCGAGAGCGAAAGAGAGAGAGAGAGCGAGAGAGAGAGAGAGAGAGCGAGAGAGAGAGAGAACATGAGAACATGAGAACAAATTAATAGGCTCTCCCAACATCTCTGAAGCAGAGGGTCCCCTCTCCCCAGGGGTTCCCAGGAATGAGGGTCTTCTTGGCCTTGTAGGTGATGTCTCAGCCACCTCCACATGATAAAGACCCATCAGGTTAAGATCATGGAGAAAAGAGGGAGAGAGAATCTGGAACTCACCTTGTATGGGCTGTTTTGGGTTTCAGCTTGCCTCCTCACTCATCAGCTTTGTTGATGTTCTAGTGTCTTCCTGTGATTGCTTTTTAAAGTAAAACTTGCTTATTTATTTTTTATTATATGTTTATGAGTGTTTTTGCCTCCATGTATGTAAGTGCACCATGTGTATGCAATACCTGGGGAGGCCAGAAAAGAGCATGGAATCCCCTGCAGTTATGGACAGTTTTAGCTGCCATGTGAATGCAAGGAACTGAACCTGGTCTTCTCAAGAACAGCCAGTGAACTACTGAGCCATCTCTCTAGCCCCTGCGGTTGCTTTTATATTGTAGGTCATAGCATGCCTGTCCTGCCTGCACTGCCTGTGCTGCCCTGTGCTGCCCTGTCCTGCCTCTCCTGCCTCTCCTGCCTCTCCTGCCTGTCTTGCCTGTCTTGCCTCTCCTGCCTGTCCTGCCTGCCCTGCCTGTCCTGCCTGCGCTGCCTGCGCTGCCTGTGCTGCCCTGTGCTGCCCTGTGCTGCCCTGTGCTGCCCTTCCTTCCCTTTCACAGATGAGGACACTGTGATTCCAGTAGAGCAGAAGGCAAATTGCACATCTGGTTTTCTGATCTCGGGATTCTGAGTTTGATCCAAGTCATATATTTTGTGTCAGAACATGTTACCTTCCACAGTTCCCCACCGACCTCAGTTTAAGCAACTGACAAATTATACCAAATTTTCAGGCCATTTCATTAGCATAATAGAGTATATAGAAACTGATTTAAATATTATTACAATAAAGTAGTTTTAACTAACTACTACACATGATTCTCTGAACACTCCAAGGATAGTCTTCGCTGTGAAATTAACTGAAATATTTCAAATGTTTTATCATTTAGAAATGAGAGCGTGTCTAAGCAGTCCAACAAGTCCTTTAATAGAAATTAGGAATGGTGTTGGACTTAATCAAGTGCCTGTCTGTCATCTGTTAAGGAGATTGTATGTTTCTGTTTGTTTGTTTTTACTTCAATAACAGAAGAGTCCATTCAAAAGATCTTGAATGGTGAATGTTCTCAAATGCCCAGTAACATTAAGTTGTGGTGTATTCTTTTTTTATACAGAGGATAATTCTGTTTCCTGTACAGTATTCAGAAGTATTGTATTATTTAAAACTTACATTGACTTTTTAAGTTTTATTTTA